GTTGAACTGTTCTGGAACAGTGTTGTAAATACAACTTAACCACTGATTTCTAGTCGTTTTCTCTTTTGGAAGGCCAAACAAAGTAGTTTCACTTTCACAATGAAACACAGAGTCTCCATGACATGGCGGCGGTGGTGGTGGCAGCAACAATAAAGTTACGCCTTCTTTCTTTACGTGAGCATTTGGGCAGCGTTATGCAAATCTTCCCACATCGTGACCTAGACATATGGGGGTGTGTTTAAACGAGGCTTTTTTGGAGGCCGTGGACCAGTCTTAACTTTTATAAAGAATATCTCTTTGGGTTTGAGACTTTAGTCTTTGCAAATTTAGGGATCTTATCTATTCACGAACAGCTTGTAACACTCCAAAGAGAAAGGAAAACTTGAAATCGCATCATATGACCCCTTTAAAAAAGACTTCATTCAAATTTAAGTCAATGAAGTTTTTGTTCCCGTTTTATTGTCAATGTCAAAGCTTGCAGATGATCTCACCGCAAAAGCTTTGCATGCTCATGACTCTTTAGCTCCACCCACAGTACGCCTCCAGGAGCTTGACTGTTTTCGGAAAGAAGTGGTAAAGCTGTATCTGTCTTTTATAAATCTGATCAAACTAAAGAATCTTCGGAGATATGAAGGATGCAATACTACTCTATAAGTACTTAAGATTAACATGAGATTGGCAGAAACTGTGTGTTACTTATGTCCCCTTTAAGAATTGGCTGAATGGAAAATCACGCCTCATTTTCAGAGCCAATCATTTTTGCAGTTGCACTTGGTGTCACTAGTGTCAAAATAACACCTTTAAGAAAGTGACAACTGGAAATATTAGTACCTTGTTCATACATTTACGAGCTGTGAAAGTTTGATTTGAGCAGCAAGATCCCAGCAAAGCTAATTTGGTCACGCACTGTTCCGCGCTTCCTACTGACAATATGCGCAAACAACAGTTAAAAGATGAGATGTAGCTGGACTTCAATAAGCAGCTCACAGCAGAGAGTCAGAGCTGCTCGTAATTACTGCACACTGCAGAGGGAAAAAAAGCCTCCTGAAACACGACCGCATTCATCCAGTTTTGTCAGCTGAATACATTTAAAAGGCACAAATGTCCCCTTAGCTGCAGGTGAAACCTATTAAAAACGCTCAAGACAGCATACGGTGTGAAGCACCAGTCTGGTTCCCAGGGGCTGACATCATAATGGGAAATATAGGCACCTCTTTACCATGAAAAACTGCGATTCAACAGAGTGTCACTTAATCAATGGTGGATCCCACAGGGGAGAGGCGGCTACAGCCTGTGGGCTCCCACAAGCTACTGAGCAATGAAGTGAGAATAAAAGATGGAGGGATGAAGGAGGAGGGTTTGATAGAGGTCGGACAAATGCTTAGGCTCCCAAGGTGCTGCTGGAGAGCTCGGTTGGCCCCACTCGGAGGGAGCTACATTAACGACATCATCCATCCTCAACACACTGCAACCGGAAAAGAGAAAATACATAAAGGAGAACTGTGCAGAGCAAGAGAGACCGAGCGATGGGGAGACGGACAGAAATAAAAAGCTCTAGTTACAGACAGAGACAGCGTCTGTCTCCAAGGTATCAGACAGACTCTGTCAGAGAGTGAACAGGGTAGACAGCCAACAGGAACACATGGCCTAAAACAGCATTTCGTCCAAGCTGCTCCTCACTTGAACAGCTACCAGACTGTCAATGACCAAGTTAACATGAAATGGCATTCACAGTGTATTCTGCTTCCGTACTTAGACATATTTCTGAGCAGAAAATTCATAGAGAGGGACACAAATGTAGAACGGGGCTTAAGTTTATTCGCTGTATTAATTATATAGTGAAAAGTGAGAAATACATACCAGAATGGAGCCAGATATTACCCTCCCTGTAGCACCAGCGGCCCCACTTTTGACAAGAGTGGGACAAAAAGGTCAAGAAAGTCAATTTCAAACTTAAGAGCAGTCAAATCTAGCATTATTTGCTAATAATGCCGTGACACTGCTTGAAATTAACAACTGCTATTTTAGAAAGGCTCTTTTCTTAATGGCTTTGCATGATTAATGTGAAATTGTTACCTCATTCAAAGTGGTTGCAACCCAATCTCAAACTATCTTCCTATTTTACAATTTGACAATTTCATACAAATACTTACGATTTGAGTAATTTTTTTTACCCCTAAACATAACAGTCATTGGGGAATAAGCAAATTGTACAAAAACAAGAATTGAGATTGTAAATTTGCCAAATTGTAAAACTGCTATTGCTTTATTTTAAAGCTCTTTAGTATATAAACGTCTGTTAAAGTGAGGTGTGTTTGCTGACTGCAGTCAGTTAAACGCTGTCTGGAGGTGGAATCTTACCACCTTATCTCCTCAATTTCCACTTCAACATTACACAGTTCACCATCTATCTGCCTGACAAGTGCTTCCCGGTTTGTTATTTCGCCTCTCCGCAATATTGAACTGTTTTCACCAGACTCCTCTATTCAGCACAGATCAATCAAATCAATCAATTGCACTCAAAACTGATACAAGCTGACAGATTTAAGGATACATCCGTTAGTCTTACTGCAAAGGAATCGTAATGTCCAAGCAACAATGTTCCCACTAAAGCCCTTCTTTTCCCACTATAAGAAGTACGTTTCCATCATCGTCACTGTCCAGTTCATCATTGCTTATGATACGCAGTGGATTCCTCTGAAGGCACGCATCAAGTAGCTCTCTACTGGCTGCTGCTTTCATGGCGTCTCTTACAGTCTCAGCTGCCCACTGATGGTAATCGTCTCCCTCGC